AGCAAAGACTAATATGAAACTCATCACTTCAGTGAGAGTCAGAAAATAAAGATTCTAACCACAATCTTTTACTAACCAGTTGAGTGAGACTGTAGGCATCTCCCATCCTACATACGTCTAGACACTGTATGTATAAGTGAACTTTTACTGCATTTCCAACCATCTCAAATATTAGTGGCTTAAAATAGCCATTGATTTAGCTTATCATTCTTTGGGTTGACTGAGCAGTTCTTCTGGTCTGAGTCATCTCAACTGATTTTTACCGTGCTCCCTCATAAATCAGTTAGCAAGGCAGCTGGCAACAGGTAATCTGGGCTGGCTTCATTCTCATGTCTGGCAATGGGATGTGGTTGGCCAGGCCCACAAGGGAAACTGGTCCCAGCATCTCTCGTTATCCAGCAGGCTAGCCTAAGTTTCTTCACTGGGCAGTCACAGCATTCCCAAGAGCAGCCAGTGCCCAAGCATTTGTGCCACAGTTGCTGCTGTTCTGTTGGCCAAAGCAAGTTTCATGGTCAGGCTCAGGTTCCAGTGGTAGAGAAATAGGCTCCACCTCTTAATTGGGGGAGCTGCAAAGTCACCTTGCAAGGGTTGTGCGTGCAGGGATGGGAAGAATTGGTAGCTGTGTTCTTAATCTAGCACACTGAATCCGCCAGTTTTACACTCACGTCCTTTAACTTTTTCTTGTTAAAGGACCTTGGAAGGTAGGCATTCGGGCTGGTTTGGATTAGATCCCAGGACTGACTCTAAAGGAGTCTTGTTAGCCCCTCTGAATGCTGGTTTTTGTCTTTTAATTCTTTGGGGCTTCAGAGTCTAGGCACTCCTCTCTAAGACAAGCATCCTGATCATTTAATTCCAAGCACTCATCTGCACAGATGTCCTTTCACTCAGGAGGAATGAAGTAGCAGATGCATTTGGCATAATCACCATAAAGATAAGTTTGTAAGCAGTCATACGTGTTTGTAAAGCACACTACTATGTGCAGGAGACTTTCTGCAAGAAAGAGAGGCACTCTTATGGGAGAAAAGTAACTGAGGAAGTCTGGATACAGGATATGAATAAAAGTTCTGTAAGGTGCCTGAAAGGTACAGTAGATCAGAGACAGCAGAGCCTCCTATTAGCCTCATGGGAGAGCATCATCTGTGTATAATAGACATCATGTAAGAGCAGGAGTTGTAAGGCTCCTGCCTTCTCCACACAGCCGTCAGGACCTCTAACTGTGTCCATCTCTTCTTCCTTTGTTTCAACTCTCATCTCTAGATTCTGCTTCGAAATTTTGACACATGAGGCAATTTCCTCCTTTTCCTCACTCATGTCCCTTTTCTCACAGGAAGGCAGTAACTCCTTCTTCTTCCTGACTTGCTATGAGCAGAATTTACCTCTATATTATTACTAATTACTTCTCAGAGACTTCCTGCAGCACATCCCAGCCAGCCTCCTCCCCTTTATCTCTGCCACCTCCCATCCCAGAATGCCCACTTCTTTCTCCTCTTTCAGGGTCTCACTCAATTCTTACCTCTTCCCTAAAGCTCCTGAGAGCAACTCTGTCTTGGGACATATTTGACCCCAACTGAGATTTTTCTCTTAACTCCCCTGGACTGGCTCAGGCATTGCTTTATCTGAGTCCAGGAGTGAGCCCTGTCTGCCAGGAGTGGTGACAGGGAAGTGATGGCCACTGCTGCCCCCAACTCAGTCCCTCCCTGAAGGCCTGTGATGTAACACCAGATCAATCAGGTGGAACTTATCTCCCCTTGAATACTTTTAACTTATATGTTTGATGTATGTGTCCTGCTGCTCCAACCATAATGCAAATCCCTTGAATAAAGAGACCAAGACTTTAACTTTTTCTGTATCCCCAGTGCCTGAAACAGCCCTCTCTGTGGAGCAGGGTCTTATGGGTTGCGTAACCAGTCAGTGATAATGGTGATTTGGGTGTTACCTGTGCTTTATATCATAGCCTATATGGTTTGCTTTTTCGTAAAGCAGCACTGTTCCACATTTGTTCTTAACCAGATGAAGTGTGTTGCTATTTTTGAAGTGTATATGCCCTGGCAGAATTTCTTGCACCTTTCGTATATCTTCCTTCTATTTGCTCTTCTTTCTTTTTTTTATTATTCAGCGCCATTGGGATGCTTTAGTTATTAAAACTTCTGTCTCTGAAGCACCTCTTCCTTTTACCACCTTCTGTGATAATTTCTTCCTGAATTACTCCTGGTCTTCTTTGATCTGACTGTCCCAGTGTAACATTCTCAAGTCCTCATATCTTCACCCAAAAGATTTCAAACAGTCTCTTCTGGTCATCATTTTAATCATTTTTGATCTTAAATCTTTGTGACTTCTCTGATGATATCCAGTTTTCTGTCCGCTAAGATAATCTGAGCTAGAAATTCTCAGTAATCCTTATCCATTTCTGTGTTCAGATTTTATTCACAACATGATGCATGCAAGTCCTTTGCAACAATTCTTCATTGACTTGACTTTTTTGCTTTAGTCTCCGAGCTTTTAAGATTATCTTTTCCTGGACTGCAATTTTTTTTGTTTTTTTTTTTTTTTGAGACAGAGTTTCGCTCCTGTTACCCAGGCTGGAGTGCAATGGCGCGATCTCCGCTCACCGCAACCTCCGCCTCCTGGGTTCAGGCAATTCTCCTGCCTCAGCCTCCCGAGTAGCTGGGACCACAGGCACGCACCACCATGCCCAGCTAATTTTTTGTAGTTTTAGTAGAGACGGGGTTTCACCATGTTGACCAGGATGGTCTCGATCTCTTGACCTCGTGATCCACCCGCCTCGGCCTCCCAAAGTGCTGGGATTACAGGCGTGAGCCACCGCGCCCGGCTGGACTGCAATTTTTATCTTTGATCTCAACATCAGTATCTGATCTGGGTAATCTATTAGTGGGGCAACCTCCAAAGCACCTTTGATATCTGCTAGGATGGATCTTATTTGGCTTAGTCAACTTCTGCCTAGACTTTATCGGCTTTTATTAGCTCAATTATCTATGACAATTATAATCTGACTGTAGCTGATTTCTGCAAAGGTAACACATGAATTCCTCATTTGTTGTTGGCTTTTCCCAACTTTATAATCATGAGGCTCAAAGTGTTTGTCTAACATTTTAAAGGGCCCCTCTCCGCCATACTGGGTCAAGGCTCCAGGTAAAATTCTCATGGCTTTTATGTTTTCCCTCCTTAGCCCTTATGGCAAATAAAACGACATGATTATTAGTGTAATTGTTCACTTAATGTCTATATACCTACAGGCTTTTTATTAGATAATAAGCTTTCTTTCCTTCTTCCTAGACAGGGATAAGAAGCCATCAAAGGATAATAAGTTAATTCATCAAATTATCTCAAATGTAAGGCTCTCCTTCATAAAGTTTTACTGAAGCGGTTGAGCAGAAGCACAGTGTTTTGATTAAGGATGTAGGCTGGGAGACCAGACTTTGTATCTGAGTCCTAGCTTTGTCACTGTTTGACACCGTGGAATGAAGGGTTACATGACCTCTCTATGACTATCCTTCCTCACCTATAATATGGGAGTAATAATATTAATCTCTAACTTGTAGGGTACCTATTGGGATTAAATGAGTTTATATATGTAAAGCACTTAGTTGTCCGGCACTTAGCAATTACTCATAAATACTAATGTGGTTGTGTTTTAATTGTTATCATTACATTAATACTAATGGTGCCTTCTATTGTCTATCTTCTCTCTTCATTGCAAGGCGCTCTGTAAACACTACAGTGTTCCATTAAAAATTACCATGAGTTTGAAGTGCTGCCATCTCAACTTGTCTGAGAAGCACTGTTTGTCCTTGACAAAAGGTGTATAAGTATGTACGGAGAAGGGGCACACATTCTTTGCCTTGCCCAAGGTCTACACTCCTAGAAAGGCATTCTTTCCAAATATAGGCAATAGAAGGCTCATCTGGCCTCTTCTTTCCATTCTGAATGAGGGGAACACCAGACTGGGGGAACACCTCAGTTGCACATGGAAGAGTTCGAGGTAAGTTGAGATTAATAATAACACCAACGCAAAGATACCATGAAGCTGAAGCTGGAGTCAGCCCCCTCTTTCTGACTTAAGTTCTTTACCCCTTTGGTTCTCCCTCCAGGAAGCCTATCCTGGATACCCTCTCAAAAAAGGCACCTTGAGTATCATCATGTCACTCCTCTACTATGTCCTTCCTCTCACCCAAGGTGGCAAGGATCCAAGCCTATCACAGAAGACCCTGCTCTCTGTAACGATCAGATCCCAATGTCCTTGCCCACCTCACATCATTCCCTGGTCCCAGAACTTGAGGTCTTCCTTCCTGCTCCAACACACACACACACACACACACACACACACACACACACACACACGCACAGACATGCACACACAGGTTCTCTATGTCTCGTGATACATTCCTGAGAAACTAATTCATACTTTTGGAGAAAGAAGAGTAATAATAGTTATTTCAGGGGCTTTAGATCTAGGAAGACCTGAGTTGGAATGCCACTTTAGACACAAATTTTGTAACTGGGCAATTACCATCTTTGGGCCTCTTTCTTCTCCTTTGAAAATAGGGAAGTCAATCCTATTTCAGAGGGCCATTGGAATAATTAAATGAGATATGTGTGTAGCACTTAGCACAGTACTACAGTAAGCAATGAATATATGGAAGTGATTATTGATGTTTTTGTACTAATGAGAAGGGTTAAGAATAAATATTTCCTCCCCTCACCTCCTCTCCCTCTGTCTAATTCTGTCTTCTCTTATAAAATAACTTGTTTTATGGATACAACGCCTTGTATTTTGATGCCCAGAATCCCAGAGTAGGGATTCTATTAGTAAAAGTCTAACCTAGTGAGCAGTTTGGTGAATTAGCAAGAGCAAAAACTGAGCAACAAGAGGTCTAGACTCTAATTCCTGATCTGCTGCTAACAAGTCAGGCAATTTGGGCCAAGCCATTATCCCCTGAAGGCTATATTTCTTCTGTAAAAAGAAATGGGATAAGATGGACTTGTAGTTTCCTTCTGATTTTATATTTTATGGTTCTATATGAAAAAGTTTTTCTCTGAATGAATTCTTTTACTGATACTTTAAAAACCTTGGCTGATGTATTTTTTCTTCTGAGACCTCTTATTGCGTAGCTTTATCTTGCCTCACATTTTTTTCACACGCAAAAGCAGTAGTTGAAGGTAGACCGTGGAGCTGGTCCTTCTAGGTTTGGATTTCAGCACCGCCAACTGATTTGGCCAGTTATTTAACTTCTTTGAGGCTCAGTGGTCTTATCTGTCTAATGAGGATAGACAGAGGGTAGATGAGAAGATGAAAGGAGACAAAATGTGTAGAATCTATAACCTCAAAGGCTATAGTGTGATTGCCCTGTAGGACATTAACCAGTTTTGTCTATAACTTGGCAAACTTATTTCAGAATGTCTTTTCTCATGGACTCTGAATACCTGATTACTATCTTCCTGATTTCTTCATTAATTTGTGAGTTGAACAGAATCTTTCACATGTGCTTCATTCTACTTTTTTATATAAGAATCCTGTTTTTAAATTTTTGAAAATTATTCTTTGACTGCCTTCAGACACTCTTCTCGATAGACTGACATTGGCAAAACTCACTAGATATGCTGATTAAATTATCGAAAAAAGAAAAACAATTGAGATGTGCATTTTTATACTTTCTGCCAGATTCTTCCTTATGTCACTTAGCTGAAACCAGGCCCTACAAGGTTAAGGGTGGGGAAAATTCCCCTGGAGGAATCTCTACTTACTGGAAAAAGAAATAAGCAAGAAGCAAGATGAGCCTGGCAGAAAGAGATACTTTCGCTGTGGCCTTTACATTTATGACTAGCAAGATAATGAAGGAAGGTAATTCTGGAAGCTTGATGTCAGTTTTAACGGTCCCTCAAGCACTGAGAAAGATAATTCAATGGATGGTGTCCATAAGGATTTTTTCTCCTTCTCCCCTGACAGCAATTGACAGGATCATTTTGTATTTGCAACTGCTGTCATTGAAGCGTGCAGAAAGGCCCTGTAAGGCCAGGAGGATGAGGGTTACTTCCCTGCAAGGATCTCTATTGTCATCACTATGGCAATAATAGTTACTATAATTTTCATTTTGCTTTTCTATAGAGTGTCGACTTTGTGGAGCTTAAGGCTATGGGATTTGGGTCACATAAAATCACACTAGCATAAAATCACGCTTTGTTATCTTGCAAGAGTATTTTCTTTTTTTAACTGCAAAGACAGCCTATGCAACAAGATTAAAATAATTGCCAATGCAGGTCACTTGACTAATATAATTATTTATGGGATGCTAATAGCTTTTCAGATGCTTTCAGATACAGTGTCAATTTGACAGCAATTTTTTCTCTTTCTGTTTGGATGGTTAGACCACTGCCAGTTTTTCTCCCCAAGGACAAGGCTTATCATTGGGGGGGGTAGGGGTGGGGAATGTAAATTAATTGCAAATCAGCTCTCAGGCGTTGTCTTGTAGTTTCTCTTTATTATCTGCAATTAAATCATAAGGACAGAAACAATGCCTTCCATTTCACTTGTATGCACCCTCATCTACTAGCGTCGCGCTCTGCATAAATTTCAGTGGTACTAGCTTTCCTACAGACAGCTTTAGAGACATTAGACACTTCCAAAGTACGACTCTTCGGAAAGAGCCCTTTGCGAATGAAGCGGGAACGGAGGCGTACCTGCGATCCTAGCGTGGGATGATAAAGCTCTAAGAGGCGTCTCAGGGTAGGGAGGAAACAGCCGGAAACCAAGAAAGGGGGTGTAGCGAAAAGATGTGAAAACAAGAAAGACAAGGTAATAGAACGGATCAAAGGGAGAAGAACAACAGAAGAGGTTGAGAAAAAGGCAAGTCGAGTGGAGCACCCCCTGCCCCCGCATGCAGAAGGCAAGCAAGCGCGGAGGAGACTACAGGCCCCAGAATCCCCTGCGGCTCCTCCTGCCGAGCGTCAGTCTCCTAGGCAACCCCACTAAACAAGATGGCGGCCTCCGAGAGGGCTCTCCTGAGGACTAGAGCTGCCTCTCTCCTGAGAGGCTTGGGCAGATTCCGAACTGGAGCTCAGTCGTTACAGTTTCTCGCAGAAGAGGAGCGTCAGCCTTGCCGGTCTTCTTTTCCCATGGGGCACAAGACGAAAGGCACGCCCAACACAGCCTCCGCCTACCTGCTCCAGCAGCTCATGCACCGCTATCAGGAGCTGGACGCGGACGGAGACGAGGACCTGGGCGAGGGCGAGGCGGAATCCGAGGAGTCCTCAGAGTCCGAAATGCTGAATTTGGAGGTGTGCCTTCCCCCTCTACCCCTCACTCCCTGGCTGTCTCGTCCAGCCGTCCGGCCCTGCTACTTGAGCTGTAGCTCCCGATGCACCCCCACCAGCCCGAAGCTTCCCACACCTTCTCAGGCTCTCTCGCCTCCAGGAACGCCTATTCCCTCTCTTTTCTTCCCTTGTTTGTTATTCCGTTTTCTCACCCCCTGCCTGAAATATCTCTAAATATCTCCTTTCTTTTTAATTGACACATTTGATTTCTTATGAGTCAAGTTAACACAGCGTCACTTTGAAAGAGTAGATAATTGTCTGGGAATTATGGCTTTAGCTTTTTAAAATTTATACTTTGACAGTATTATAAATGGGCAGAGCTCATCTCTGGCATTCCAGCACCTGTTGCCCATGGCTATAAAATACTTCCACATTCTGCCCCAGATCTAGTCCCGTCAGCCTCCTTCCACGGAAAAAAAAAAAAAAAAAAAACTCTTTTGAAAGTGCTTCCTCAAAGACTAAGTGACTTAAAAGTTGAATACATTACTTCTGTCAGGGGCATATGTCTTATACAAGCAACATGCACATATACCAGAAGGGAGCCCTAAAATGTTCAAACAGCCAGCTCACTGTGGGAGTATTTTAGGATGATGTTCCCATCATCCCACCTGTATTGACTGGGGTGGTGGCTTCACCTTTCACAGGACTTGATTCCCTCCTTCCTGCAATACCTCTTCAGACCACCACACAATTCCACCTCTTTCTTACGCGTATTATCGTCCTTTTCCTTTCTTAGTCCATTGCAGTCTTCCTGTCTTTTCCACTTCTCATCACATCAGTTTTTTCTCTTGGTGTCTAATAAATTGCTTTCTTTCAAAAGTGTAATTTAATTTGCTTTCTTTTAATACGCTTAGGTTTTTCTCTTTGTCTTGGCTGCCAGGAAACTCAGATTCAATATTTTTTCTTAATTTCAAAGTTTCCTTTAGGTTTTCTCTCTCATTTCTTTTTCCTTGGCAGTATAAATTGCATCAAATTATTTTAAGAAGTAAATGTAATATAAAAGTGTAGAATTTCTTTCTTTCTTCTTTCTTTCCTTTCCCTTCTGTCCCCTTCTCTTTCATTTCTTTCTTTTCCTTCCTTCCTTCCTTTTTTCTTTTCTTTCCCTCCTTCCCTTCCCCTCCCTTTCCTTCCTTCCTTTCCCTCCCCTCCTCTCTCCTCCCCTCCCCTCCCCTTCTTCCTTTCACAGGGTCTTACCCCCTCCCCTTCTTCCTTTCACAGGGTCTTACTCTGTTACGCAGACTGGAATACAGTGGTGCGGTCATGGCTCACTGCAGTCTTGACCTCCCAGGCTCAAGCAATCTTCCTACCTCAGCCTCCTGAGTAGCTGGGACTACAGGTGTACACCACAGCGCCTGGCTTATTCTTGTGGTTTTTGTAGAGACGGGGGGTTGGGGGGACGCTCGCCATGCTGCCTAGGCTGGTCTTGATCTCCTGGGGTCAAGCCATCTGCCCATCTCCGCCTCCCAAAGTGCTGGTGTTACAGGTATGAGCCACTGTGCCCAGCCTAGGATATTTTTATTACCCTCATTCTGTAATATTCTTCTGGTTTCCCCTCTTTGCATCTATTCATAGTCACCTTTTTTCCTTGAGGCCAGATATATTTCTCTGCTATGCCTGTTCCCTTTCAGAAACTACTTTCCTCATTTGCCTTGCTGCTTCTTCTCCCCTCTCCAACCTGCAGCGTCTTCTGTTACTCTGATTCTTCTATTAACCACTTGGGTTCCCCTTCCTTTGTAATGTCCTTCTGTTCACTTTCAACAGTTGGCCTGTTTTTTTTTCTCCCCCATCTCATCCCCCTTTTGTCTTTCCTCTTTTCCTACTTGCTTATTTATACATGAGATAGTTGCCGTTAGTTTTGCTTAAAGTTGACCATAGAAAGCAATTAATTACTCTGTTATTACTTCTTTTGTCTTTTGTTTATTTACTTTGCTATCTTTAACAGTGACTGTAATAAAACTCTAGCAGTGTTTTTGCAACATTGAGATGTTTGTATGGTTTCCACCAGCTTCCCCCCAGAGGAATTCACAAATGAACCACGAGTATACTTTGTTATTGTAATTAACACATAGCTCTTTGGCTATGGGGTTCATTAGCACCATTGTTAATCGGTCTTCAGTATGCCATTAACAAACCATAGAAGGGGCTGACATGAACTAGTTATCCCTTTTTGGCTTGTAAGACGTGTGGAACAGGCTCATTATTGCTTCCATTTACATTCTAATTTCGTGTTTTTTTTTTTTTTTTTGAGACAGAGTTTCACTCATGTTACCCAGGCTGGAGTGCAATGGCGCAACCTCGGCTCACCGCAACCTCCGCCCCCTGGGTTCAGGCAATTCTCCTGCCTCAGCCTCCTGAGTAGCTGGGATTACAGGCACGCGCCACCATGCCCAGCTAATGTTTTGTATTTTTAGTAGACACGGGGTTTCACCATGTTGACCAGGAAGGTCTCGATCTCTTGACCTCGTGATCCACCCGCCTCGGCCTCCCAAAGTGCTGGGATTACAGGCTTGAGCCACCGCGCCCGGCCTAATTTCGTGTTTTTATTCTATTTTGGCTTTTCATAGTATTGCACACATATTAATATGCTAAATAAGCTGAAACCAAGTTTTAAAAATTTGGAAAGTCATGTTCAGTGATTTATTATTCCCATCTTAGCCTGGTGACTATTTGCAGTGCTATCATGGTCACAATGACTATTGAGTGCCTTTAATGCAATTTGCCTTAAACCTCAGAAGCCCTCATGAATTAAGGGAGGCAGTATGGACCACCTGTTCAAACACAACATTTGTGTTTGAGCCTTTTTGTTAGTTGTGAGATCTTGAGCAAGTTACTTAACATCTGTCATTTTTTTTTTTTTTTTTTTTTTTTTTTCAGACAGAGGTTTGCTCTTGTTGCCCAGGCTGGAGTGCAATGGCATGATCTCAGCTCACCACAACCTGCACCTTTTAGGTTTAAGCGATTCTCCTGCCTCAGCCTCCCACGTAGCTGAGATTTTAGGCATGCACCACCACACCTGGCTAATTTTGTATTTTTAGTAGAGGCGAGATTTCTCCTTGTTGGTCAGGCTGGTCTCAAACTCCTGACCTCAGGTGATCTGCCCACCTCAGCCTCCCAAATTGCTGGGATTACAGGCATGAGCCACCGTGACTGGCAACCTCTCTCATTCTTAATGTGGGAATTATAACAATACCTATAGAATTGTGAGAATTAAATGAGATCCTATATGTTAAATGCTTATCATAATATATTTTTGATGCAGTTAATACAAATGGTAACTTACATGTTTTTATCTGCTAACTGCAGCCCATTAAATGAGTTGATTAATTTAGCCTTCATTGAACAAGCATTTACTGCGTGATTGCTTTGACTGTACAGAGCAGAAGTATCTGGGCCCAAAAATTGATGCATGAAAAACACTTCTTTTCAGTCCCTTAATATGGATAATAATACCTACTCCTGGGATAGTTATGAACATCAAATTTAATAAGAAACTCGATATTTAAAGTTCTTACTGTAGTGTCTGATACAGAGTAGACTCTCAAAAAATTATGGCTGCAATAAATAATAACAGTAATGGCAGAAAAAGATGAGAACATGATTGAAGACATGCACAGTTCCTGCTTTCAAAGTGAGATAAGAATATGAGTAAATCATAGCAATTCAGCATACTTGTGGTATGCCGTAAAGAGATGAATACAGTTGTCAGCTGGATTGCAGGGACATGGCAGGATTCAGGGGAAGGAGACTCTTGCCTGGGCAGAGAGGTGCTGTGTGGACAGGCAGGTAGCAGCCTTTCCTACCGATGAGTTACAGGTGAGAACAGATGAAGCAGCCTGGTGGGCCCGGCGCGGTGGCTCATGCCTGTAATCCCAGAACTTTGGGAGGCTGAGGCAGGCAGATCACGAGGTCAGGAGATGGAGCCCATCCTGGCTAACATGGTGAAAGCCCGTTAAAAAAAAAAAAATCAGCTGGGCGTGGTGGCGCACACCTGTAGTCCCAGCTAGATGGGAAGCTGAGCCAGGGGCATTGCTTGAACCTGGGAGGCGGAGGTTGCAGCAAGCCAAGATCTTGCCACTGCACTCCAGCCTGGCAACAGAGCAAGACTCCATCTCAAAAAAAAAAAAAAAGCAGCAGCAGCAGCAGCCTAGGGAGGAATGAGATTGTAAAGGGCACTGGGATGTTGTGGGGACTTGGACTGGGGTCTCTACACAGTGGGGAACTGCTCCGTTGGCCAGGTGGGATTAGATTAGAGGATTGTAAGACTGGAGGCAAGGAGATCAGTGAGAAGATTCTGGCAAATTCCAGGGGAGCGAGAAGAGCTTGGATTAAGGCAGTGGCAGTGGGAATGGAAAGGAAGCTAAAGTTAAAAACATATTTAAAGTATTTAAGATGGTTCATTTACAAATTAAATATTAGAAGTCTAGGATGGCTGTTAGGCCTATGGCATGGTCTGGGGTAATATTAAGGCCATTATCTATCATAGGAATCAGGGACAGACAGAGCTGTGTTAAGGAGTTGGATATAGGAACCACATGACTAGA